AGAGGAAGGATAGAGCGCAGACGGCGAGTACGAGAGGAGGGTATAGTACACCCACGCCCGCCTGTAACCATGTACACTCGTTAAGGCAGGCTGAGGCGAATATATATTCCGGGGAGTAGTTTGCCGAGATAATTAAATGGCTTAACGATATAATAACCTCGCGTCGAGCGTCGACTGTCTGAACAGAGCCACCCACAAAACATACAAACAGAGGAACGTGTACAAGCGTGCCGGTGCTGCGCGCCATGCCGCGTCTGTGGAGAGATGGAGATTGGAAGAGAAAGAGAAAGTGAGACAGGAATAGAGAAAGAGTGGAGAGAAACGAAGAAAGATGAAAGACGGAAAACGGCTCTCCACGAAGCCGTATTTCTGCGAAACGTCGCCGGTGATTCCGAGGAAGTCGGAAGCCCCAAGGAAACGTTCCGAGTTTCCACTCTTGATAGCGATAATAATCCTGACCCGGATCCGACTTCTATGCGGAGTGTTACTCTCTTACCAGTGCCAGGAAACCACTCTCGTCCTCGTGCCGAGATTCCCCGTAATGCCGCAGCAACGGGAGAAACGACGCTTTGACGTCGGTGGCCCGAACGAATTATACGAAATGTTCAGAGGTGTGAATTTCGTTTTTCAAGTTCTTGCTAACGAGTAAGGAAATATATAGGCGAGAAGATACATCGAGTGTGGTAAAAGTTTCACAAAATTTAAAAAAGGTCGCATAAAATATTCGGAATATTTTCTGTCTTTCAAGCTTGATGTAATTAAAGACGATACTTCTTTTTTATGACCGTCATGAGGGTCGGAGAAGACTTCTCCGATTTAAAACGTCTTAACTTCCTTCTTTATTTCCGGATACGAAGATACTGGGTCTTAATCTTCGTGCGAACCATCTCGCGGCACCTGCATCGGTTGCCAAGTGCTCGTCCTCAGCAGTTTTCACCGTCGCCGTTGCCGCTTGCTGACTCGACCAGACGCGAAGTTACGGCCGAGAGATCTAAAGGGGATCGTCTTATAACCTTCTTATATTGCGTATCGTTGACACACTCTAAGCGTCTTTTGGCCGAAGTAAGCAGTCGCCACAAGGGAAATTGCGATCGATGCAAATGTGAGCGTACCTACCGCGAAGACGCGTAAGCCAATATCATTCGCCAATATCATTTTGAAGCTTTACAACTACGATATCCTGTTCGCTGTCTGTATATTCGTAGCGAGTTTACAACAACGGTCTCGAGTAACTATTATACAACAGAGAGATAGAAGGAGAGAGAGGGGGGGGAAAGAAGAGCTTCTTCCGAGAAAAGCTAATCTACCGCGATATCTATATCGCAATGCGAAATAATCCGCGAAACGATTACGTTTCCTGGGCTTATCTATCCACGACGAAATCGACCAGCGAATCCGTCGTGGCTTATTCGATTCGATCTATCCAGCATAGCTGGTGGGATTTAAGAGAAGAGAGTAAACTAAGACGGGTGGCATTCCGGAATCCTGCTAAGGATTTGCCGCACGTACCCCCGACAACATCGCAGATCCGTGGAAGTTTCTCCGTGGGCTGTGTGGGAAGGAAGGCTCGGAGACGGAGGGGTTGCTGGAATGCTGATTAGTCGGCGCGCTCGTGAACCGTAACACTATAACCTACCCCCGACGGCTTGGGTAACCGGGCGGGAAGACT